GAGTCTGCCTGTCAGTTTATACACAATCCTGGTGGCTGCAGCCACTAGATTGTGTATAAAAACCCCCGCTGTCAGGTCTGTACGACATACTGACCTGGCGGTGAAAGGGTTAAATGGACCTACGGCCTTGAGATTTTAAACTGTCTAGCTATAAACACTGCTCAAAAAAATTAAAGGAACACTTTGACAACACATCAGATCTCAAATGGGGAGAAATATTATGCTGGATATCTATACGGATATGGATTGGGTAATGTTTTAGGAACGTAAGGATGCCCCATTGTTTGATGGAAATTAAAATGATCAACCTACAGAGGACTGAATTCAAAGCCCCCATATGCTTGTATGCATGCCTGACAGTTTTGGACTGTCTGAGGTGCAACCTGGCAGAGTCGAATGGACCAAAACATAATATCCCAGGTGTGTTTCTATTGGATTTAGGTCAGGTGAGCGCGTGGGCCATTCAATGGTATCAATTCCTTCATCCTCCAGGAACTGCCTGCATACTTTTGCCACATGAGGCCGGGCATTGTCGTGCACCAGAGGAACCCAGGACCCACTGCACCAGTGTAGGGTTTTAGAATTGGTCCAAGGATTACATCCCGATACCTAATGGCAGTGCACCATTGTCTAACCTGTAGAGGTCTGTGCATCCCTCCATGGATATGTCTCCCCACACCATCACTGACCCACCACTAAAACGGTCATGCTGAACGATGTTACAGCATAATGTTCTCCATGGCTTCTCCAAACCTGTCAGGAATCGCGGCGTCCTGTCGGCCGGCGCACGCACGCACACTGGCGACGGCTCACGCCGGGACACAAGCACCAGGTCCCGGCAAACCGCAGATGACAGGACGCCGCGCATGCACAGTAGGAGCCGCGGGCGCGCCTCGGGCAGCCAATGACAGCCCGGGGGCGCGTCCTGGACGGCCAATGACAGTGCAGGGCGCAATATTTAAAGATGCCCTGCACTGTCACTAATCGCCGCAAGGTCTATGTTCCTGAGTTCCTGTACCTGAGTTATTGACCCCGATTGCCCTGACTACGCTGCCTTCTCCTGTGTTTGACCCGGATTGTCCTGACTACTCTGCCTTCTCCCCTCCTGACTCCCGGCTTGTTTGACCTATCTGCGGACTGATTTATCCTGCGGACCCTGCGTGTGACCTGACGACTCTCCGCCTGCCGATTCTGTACCTCGCCTACCCCACGGGACCACTGCTCGTGATCCATCCTGCTAGGTCCTGCCGCCCTCCTCACATCTGGCTCTCCCAGTACCTATACATCCCCGGAGGTTCCCTCTGCCACTGGTGGGCCTGCTCAGAGGTCGTGACCTAGTCCTGGTCTGTTACAAGTCCATCCCCACCATCAGGGGCCCTGGTGAAAGCACAGACCGGGACTTAGACTCCACGCTTTGGGTAGGTCTGTCAAGTGGGCAGCCAGAGGCACCACCTGGCGGATCATAACAAAACCCTTTCAAGTCTGTCACATGCTCAGAGTGAATCTGCTCATCTGTGAAAAGCACATGACGCCAGTGGTGGACCTGCCAATTTTGGTGTTTAATGGAAAATGCCAATCGAGCTCTATGGTGCTGAGCAGTGAGCACAGGGCCCACTAGAGGACGTCGGACCCTCAGGTCACCCTCATGAAGTCTGTTTCTGATTGTTTGGTTAGAGACATTCACACTAGTGGCCTGCTAGAGATCATTTTGTAGTGCTCTGGCAGTGCTCATCCTGTTCATCCTTGCACAAAGGAGCAGATACTGGTCCTGCTGATGGGTTAAGGACCTTCTACAGCCCTGTCCAGCTCTCCTAAAGTAACTGTCTCCTGGAATCTCCTCCATGCTCTTGAGAATGTGCTGGGAGACACAGCAAACCTTCTGGCAATGGAACATATTGATGTGCCATCCTGGAGGAGTTGGACTGCCTGTGCAACCTCTGTAGGGTCCAGGTATCGCCTAATGCTACCAGTAGTGACACTCACCCTAGCCAAATGCAAAACTAGTGAAAAACAGTCAGAAAAGAGGAGTAGGGAAAATAATGTCAGTGATCTACACCTGTAAAAGCATTCCTGTTTTGGGGGTCATCTCATTGTTGCCCATCTAGTGTACCTAATAATTTAATTAACAATAAATTTAACACCAAAGCAGTTGAAACTGATTAACAACCCCCTCTGCTACTTAATTGACCAGATCAATATACCAGGAGGTTAATTGACTTGATGCTATTGCTAGTGTTACTTTAATTTTTTTTTTTTTTTTTTTTTTTTTTTAGCAGTGTACATACATTTTCCAGTTTATCAGACATTGGCTGCAAAATTAAAAAAAAAAAAAAAAAGAAGGAGGTCTTTGGAATGGAGTCTTCATCATGAGCCATCATCACTCTGGAGACATAGACTACTTAATTTTGTTTGAAGACCCACAGCAAGGTATTTTGTTTTCCAAATGTTAAGCTATGACTTCATAACAGAACTGAATTGTATAGGTTTTTACCTTTATGCATTCTACGCGTTAAAGTGGAAGGAGATGCTTGCTTATGATTAACTCCAAGCAAATCAGTTACACCATACTAGTACATTGATATTTAAACAATGTTTCTTTGGAGGCACACTTACAGCTCTCCATTGCTATTGCAAGCCAAAGCGAGGCTAGGAGGAGCTGAAGCACATTCCTGTTGAAGCTCTCATGAATTAGGAAGCCTTTGCATTATCATTCATGAAAAAATGTATAGCATCACAGATGGTCCTGGGCCAGGCCGGTTGGAGCAATGCTGTGATGCTTACACAGACAACGGTTCAAGGAAGTGCCTATGAGCAGCTACATTTGACTGAACAGGCACACCGTTTTCAGTAAAGCGCAGGAGAATTGAGATTGTCTAGATTGGACTAGTGTTTCTAATCAAACAACCAGCAATTAGAATAATGCATAATATATACATTTTAGTTTTTGTACATACCAACCAAGGGCAGATTTTCATTTAGAACTGGAATTCAGCTTTAAAAAGGTGAAAAAAAAAAACAAAAAAAAAAACACAACCCACTACCTGTCCTCCCCAATCCCTAAACAGCTCCTCTCACGAGTCCAGCACTGTCCTCTCTGCAGCATCGCTCTCACAAGAGACACAGGCAGCAGCAAGAGCCAAAGGTTCCTACTAGGTTCCTACTAGTCAGCCAAACTCCTATGCGGAGTTAGCAGGGCCGTGGCCTACTGACACTGTGTCTATTGACTCACACAGACTGGCTCAGAGGCATGCCCGAACAGGCGCCCTCTTCAGTATGTAGCTTGCTGAAGGGGACATTCGTAGAAGGGAGACGTGGACAGCGCTGGCAAGAGACTCTAAAAAAATGCACCTGCTCTGTGCAAGTGGCCCCATACCTACTTTTCTGAATAATAAAAAAAAAAAACCCTTTACAATCATTTTAAATTCACAGACTTTAATTGACAGTAATTGTGTTACTGGGTGACACCAGATGCTCTGGGGTCAAAGGATGACACCGTGTTTTCATCAGAAGGGCTCTAGAGGAATACTGAGGCAGGGTGTTGTGATGTTTTCAGTAATCTATGTACAGCACCATGACCAGGCTTCCCACCAGCTATGCATACACAAGCACAAAAATGCAGTGGCGACACCTCAGGGTTTATAATAAAGTATGAAGTGAAAACAGAAGGTTTTATTAAAAAAAATTTCATTAGCATTTGGATTAAGGGGATTATTATTATACAGGATTTATATAGCGCCAACAGTTTGCTCAGCGCTTTACAAAATAACGGGAGACAATACAGCAACAATACAAGAGGGATAGGAGGGCCCTGCTCCTTGGAGCTTACAATCCAGGGGATGAACCAGGAAAGACAAACTATAAGCAAATTATACTTCAGCTTTAACATTTTTGTGTGATTGTGGTGATTGGGGTTTAGATGGCATTTAAATTCTTGTCAACTTCTTTAACCAAAACACTTAGGTTCTTTTCCTAGGTTCCTGGGTTCTCAAGCTCCTTTCATTTAACTAACCATTGTTCTGTATAAATGTAGCAATCTCATTCTGTGCCCCCCCCCCTCCATATTGTGGGACCCAATACAGCCTGTCTGACATCACTGGGTGACGCTGCCGGATGCTCTGGGTTCACCCCGTGATGTGGGAATCTCTGGAGTCACCCTCTGATGGATTGCCTAGGGTCACAGGATTCACAGAAACATAAAAAAATATAAATACACAATTAAAAATCCCTATTCCCATTAGTAATAATTTCTGCATGTTTATGGAGGAGATAAACTCTTCTATAGATTTTAATCTATTCTATTATTTGCATATAAAAGGAAAAATGAATACTTTAGTATAGAGAAAAAAAAAAAAACTCACTTGTAAATAATAGACTTTTCCTGAGGTGCTGTGTAACTGCCGAGAGGAGAAGATGCAGAGGAGTAGCTGGTGTAAGGATCTCTGGAGTCACTTTTAATCACAAAGCATAAGCGAAGCTGCAGTGTCCACCAATGCCTGTGCATTCGGGAGCGCAGGCAGCATTAGGACATCAGGACATAGTCCTAAGCCTGGGAGTGCCCCCATCAAGTGGGGGGGGGGGGGGGGGGACGCTGATAAGAAGGAAAACAAATATATATAAGAAAGGAGAAGCTTTAACTGCTTCCTGTCCGTCCTATGGCAGAAATACTGGTACAGGGCGGAAGGGGTGCACAAAAACACGTATATTTTAACTTTTGCAGTTCCGGGTAGGGGGCACATGCATGCCCTACCCGCGTCTCCGTTTGCGGCCTCGCCCGTCAATCACCAGGTCCCGGCCGGTGATTACTCACAGGCACCCGGTAATCGTCTAGTATAACCAACGGGGAGAGAACTGTATGTAAACAAATACAGTTCTCTCCCCTCTCAGCTCCTGCACACTGCTTTGTATGGTTCTGCATAGCAGAGCCATACAAAGCAGTGTGCTTACAGTTGAAAGCACACACACAGCACGTTGTGAAACGGCACACAATTTACCCTTTGATTGCTCCACGTATTAACCCCTTCCTGCCCAGTGCCATTAGTTCTGTGTTGGTACTTTTTATTAGCACTGATCACTGTATTGCTGTCACTGGAGATGTCAGTGACACCAAGTCAGTTCCCCCCAGAGGCAGAATGCCCGCCGCAGTCCCGCTATAAGTCGCTGATCGCAGACATTACTAGTAAAAAATCAAATTTAAAAATTCCAGTATATATATATATATATATATATATAATATATATATATATATATATATTACACACAGCCATTTGTAAACGCTATAAACGTGCACATAAACCAATTAGTAGTTTACACGTATTGGGATTTTTTTTTTGTTAGCAAAGACATGTAGCAGAATACATTTTGCCCTAAATTTGATTTTTTTTTACTGCATGTTTAATAGCAAAAAGTCCAAAATATTGTTTTTTTTTCCTCAAAATAGTTTTTTTTTTTTGTTTATAGCGCAAAAAAAAAAAAAAAAAAAAAAAAAAAAAAAAGTGATCAAATACCACCAAATGAAAGCTCTATTTGTGGGGGGAAAAAGGAAGTAAATTTAATTTGGCTTCAGCGTTGCACGACCGCCCAATTGTCAGTTAAAGTAACACAGCGCCGTAATGCAAAAAAATGGCCTGGGCAAGAAGGGGGGTAAATCCTGGAGGGCAAGTGGTTAAAGGATAAGTTCACCTTTTGAAACAGGTTACATGTTGCACACGTTTTTAGGTCCCACATGGCTGAGTCATCCACAAAATTCTGTAAATGAGCTACAAGTCCCGACAGCCTTAACGGCTGTCCTCTTGTAGTTCTCAATGAACTGCCATGGCTCTGTGGAGCAGTGTGGCAGTTCACCGATTCTTACGGTCAGTATATCTGCTTGCCCGTACATCCCATACCAGCAAGCAGATATACGGACAGATCTGCAAAAGACCTGCATGGCACCAGAGATCTGCTAATTGCTGGTGCAATGCTTTCCAGGCTCCGGCAACCAAAAATAATAAAATGCACATTTTATTTTTTTTACCTGCAAAGAAATGTGAATTTATTATTTTTTGTCAAAAGGTGAACCTTCCCTTTTAAACAAAGTTTAGGCTTATTGCTTTCAGTTATTGATAAGGAACATAAATTAACTTCACCTCTAGAAGCCATGTATACACTATATCATCAAAAGTATTGGGCCCCCCTCCAAATCATTGGATTCAGGTGTTCCAATCACCTCCATGGCCACAGGTGTATAAAATCAAGCACCTAGGCGTGCAGACTGCTTCTACAAAACATCTGTGAAAGAATGGGTCGCTCTCAGGAGCTCCGTGAATTCAAGCAAGTTACCGTGATAGGTTGCCACCTGTGCAAAATGTCCATCCGTGAAATTTCCTTGTTACTAAATATTCCATGGTCAACTATTAGTGGTATTATAACAAAGTGGAAGCAAATGGGAACAGCAACTCAGCCACGAAGTGGGAGGCCACATAAAATGACAGAGCGGGGTCAGCGAATGCTGAAGTGCACAGAAGTCGCCAACTGTCTGCAGCCAATAGCTAAAGACCTCCAAACTTTTTGTGGCCTTCAGATTAGCACAACAGTGCATAGAGAGATTAATGAAATGGGTTTCCATGGCCGAGCAACTGCATCCAAGACTTGACATCACCAAGTGCAATGCAAAGCCTCAGATGCAGTGGTGTAAACCACGCCTTCCACTGGCCTATAAAGCAGTGGACACGTGTTCTCTGGAGTGACTAATCACGCTTCTCTGTCTGGCAATCCGATGGACGTGTCTGGGTTTGGCAGTTGCCAGGAGAACGGTACTTGCCTGACTGCATTGTCCCAAGTGTAATGTTTGGTGAAGGGGGGATTATGGTGTGGGGTTTTTTTTTTTAGGGGTTGGACTTGGCCCCTTAGTTCCAGTGAAGAGAACTCTTAAGGGGTCAGCATACCAAGACATTTTGGACAATTTCATGCTCCCAACTTTGTGGGAACAATTTGGGGGATGGCCCCTTCCTGTGGAGGAACTTGACTGGCCTGCACAGAGTCCTGACCTCAACCTCAATCCAATAGAACACCTTTGGGATGAATGCAAGCCAGGCCTTCTCGTCCGACATCAGTGCCTGACCTCAAAAATGCGCTTCTGGAAGAACAGTCAAAAATTCCTATAGACACACTTCTAAACCTTGTACATAGGCTTCCCAGAAGAGTTGAAGCTGTTATAGCTGCAAAGGGTTGGCCAACTCAATATTGAACCCTACAGACTAAGACTAGGATGCCAGTAAAGTTCCTGTGCGTGTAAAGGAAGACATCCCAATACGTTTGGCAATATAATGTACATTTTTATGGACTTGCAAGAAAGCGGTTATACAAGGGTCATGGATGCAGCTATGATCCTAGGATCCTCTTGTTCAGCCAATGACTGGCTTTCCAACATTACGATCCAAGTGGCTATATAGCTGCCTGATCACTTTTACAATGCTCGGAAGGTGTCCCAGCACTGTACCTGAGCTCTTCTGTTCCACCAGGGAGCCCAGGACCACTATATGTGGTCAGGTCAGCTGTGCCCATAGAAGCAAGAAGATCATCCATTCCTCCCTCTTCTCTGACAAATAAAACTAGAATTGACAAGGATTTTGTCAACTCCAGCTTCACGTTTACCTGGCTGCTACTGGCCAGGGAAGCAGCCAATAGAACCGATCTCACATTGATCAGCTGCCTTGGAGGGTAGAGGTGGGATCAGGAGTCTTACAGACCCCCCCGATCTCTCAATAAGGAGTACCCAATAAGGATGCCCATGCCATCTCATGTGATGTTGTTCATCCCTTGTGATAGCAAGCAAGCTGAATGAAAAAAAAAAAAAAAAAACATTTAAAAGCAACCCCTTCATGGTCCCTCTGTGCTCACATGCAAACGTACACCCAGGTCCCGCACACATTAGTAACCAGTTATTGCACTACTACACACGTGAGGTATCACTACTATTTTTAGAGCTATGCTTCTATAACTAGAGCTCTTTGTTCAACTCTAACCAGGTAACCTGTAAAGGCTTTTAATATCACCTATGGTGATTAAGTCCCAAAGTTTACCATTTCACGGGCGTGCAACATTTTAAATTTTGACATGTTTGGTATCCATTTACTCAGCACAACATTATCTTTTATATTTTACAAAAAGAATGGGAGTATTTATTCCCAAAATTTGCATTTAATAAACAGCTGCACAAATACGGTGTGACATAAAAAATTGCAATAGCCAACATTTTATTCTCCAGGGCCTCTGCATTCAGAAAATAATGAAATAATGTTTGGGGTTTCTAAGTAGCTGTCTAGAAATATATATAAAAAAAAAAAAAAGCAAAGTTACACTTACGGTAACGCCTTTTCCAGGAGTCTTTCAGGACAGCACCTTGAGAGACTTCGGCTCCTCCCCACCTGAGGAAACACCTCCACCCAGAATAAAAGTGCAGTCTCCCCACACCGACCTCAGTTCCTGACTTGGCACCTCCGATCAACTGGGGAGACACAATACAAGACACAAAAAAAGAAAACGTACCGTATAGCCAAATGCTAAAAAAGGGTGGGTAACTGGCACTGTCCTCAAAGATTCCTGGAAAAGGCGTTACCGTAAGTGCAACTTTGCTTTTTCCCCTCCCCATCTTTCAGGACAGCACCTTGACAGGATATCCAAGCACTTACCCCTAAGCCGGGACCACCGCTTGCAGAACCTTGCATCCGAAGGTAGACTGAAAGGGTCTCCTCTTTTCTATTATTTAGGAGGGTGGAAACTAACCTAGCTGAAAACCCCTTGCTCCTCAGCAGCTGTTCCTCAGAAACCAGGGTGCTAGGCTCCATCTGTCTACCTAGGGACAAAGGACTGGACCCTGGATCTGCCCCTCTCTTCTGGTAGCCAAGAACCCTGCGCCACAGACCCCTCTAGGTGCGCTTGCGTCTGTTGAAACTTCCCTGGTGATGGGCAAGACTCATAACAGCCCTTGAGCCAAATTGGAAATCTTTACCCGGGGGTACCTGTACCAAGGAGTCCAAAGCCACCTGCCAGCAATCCCAGATGTCCAGAATGAACAGCTGGAGGGGCCGCAAATGCAAACTTGCCCACTGTACCGCCGGGATGGACGAGGTTAGCAGGCCCAACACCGACCTGGACTCTCTTAGGGACACGGCCTGGTTCCATAGCAGCTGGCCTATTCCACTGTCCAACTCTAGGATTTTCTCCCGGGGTAGAAAGGTTTTCTGAACGGTGGAATCCAGCTCGTAGCTCAGGTACACCATCCTTTGGGCAGGGACCAAATTCGACTTGGCTAAGTTTATTAGCCAGCCTAAACTCTCTCAGGTTTCTCGTCACCAAGGATATATGGTTATGTCCCGCGTCAGCAGTTCCTCTTAGTCTGCAAATAATAGATCGTCCAGGTAAGCCACCAGCAAGACTTCCCTTAGACGAAGGGGCACCAGGGCCTCGGCCACTATCTTTGTAAAAATCCGGGGCAAAAAGGAAAGCCCAAAGGGCAAGGCTCGGAACTGCAGGTGAAGGATTCCCCTGGGTCCCTGTACCGCCAACCTGAGGAATTTCTGAAAGGCATCCACAATTGGAACGTGTAGGTAGGTGTCCCTTAGATCTATTGATGCCAGAAAGCATTTTGGGGGGGGGGGGGGGAAGAGACCTGAACGAGAAAATGGAATCCATACGGAATTTCTTGAATGTTATGGTCTCATTCAAGGGCCTGAAGTTCAGAATGAGCCTGTACTTCCCTGAGGGCTTTCTGACCACAAAGACGTGTGAATAAAAACCCTTGCCGTTATCTGCGGAAGGGACCCTGATGACAACCCTCTGCTCTTCCAACTCCTGCAAAGAAAGCAGGGCCGAGGCCTTCTTTGCACATCTTGGGAGCTCCGTCACTAACAACCTCTGTGGAAGCGGTCTCCGAAACTCCAGGTGGTACCCCCTCTCACTATACCCAGAATAAAAGGATTGGAGGACACTGCTTCCCGCTGTGGGAGGAAGACCCCCAATTTTCCGCCCACTGGACGAACACAGTCAATGCGACTTTTGGGGCTACTCAGGAGAACGGAAAATCGCTCCTCCCCTGCCACTTCCTTTTTGGCCCCAGGGCCTTTTCTTTACCTCTGGCCTAATGGCTTGTGCCCGCTTCTGGGGACGAAACTCCCCCCCCCACGCCTGGATTTCTTAAGGGGAAAGGCCTTTTTCACATCTGCAGTGACATCCAGCACCATCTCAAGACCTGGGCCAAAAAGAAGATCTGATCCGTGTGAAGGGGATGCCACAGAGTTTAACCTTGGAGGCAGTGTCCCCCTGCCATGTCTTAAGCCACAGGGC